TCCCGGCTTATTGGGTCGCTGTAGAACGGTAAAAACGAGCTATCTGCGGCCAAGCAGTATGAGGCCGCGTTGCAAGTTGGATGGGTGACCGCCGTGACACCCGATGCACAAAGCCAAATTAAAGGGAATCTCACCAGTCAAAGGCGCATCGGGGCATCGCTAGCGTTAGTCGACCGTCCAACTTGCATAGTGAATTATGAGGAGTAGGGCATACACAATAAGTCTTTAAGGCTGCAGTGCTGAGCATATGCTTGAAAGAATGGACATAATCAATCAATCAATCAATCAAAACTAATTTCAACATAGCATAGCGTTACGGTAAGTGATCCGCTAAGTCCCGTTAGATAGCGGGCTCCGCTAACGCTAATACCGTAAGACCTGTCATCCTATACTTGTCAAATAGCGTTACGGTATTTGAAATTTAGACAGCATGAGAACTCTCTACTTTCATTTAAAAAAATTAAGTTACATAAACATACTGCATCTTAGAAACTGTAAGTTTGGCAAACCTTCCCTTGTAAATACTACCAATCGGGCATTTCTACTTTAAGCACCGTAGGAAATCGAAATGTACAGTCAGCCCAAGAATCATAAACTAACATAAGGCTTACGTTCGGCAATTCTCGAGATGAAAGGCGGAAGGGTCTGCGAGTGACGTCACCACTATCACCTGCTGATAGTGGTGACCTCACCCGCAGACCTCGATGGATTGCTTGTGGCTGGGTTTGCTAATTTTATCTGCGAGCAAAATGAGCAAAATTTGACAGACGTCACGTGATTGGACACGTGTAAAAAAAGTGATCACGTGACGTCCGTTAAATCAGTACATTTTGCTCGCAGTTGCAATTACCCAACCCTGCCAGTGTTTTAAACTAGGATAACGCATTTTCGCCAAGAGTTGAGGTCTGCGGCTAAAATCAGAGCGCTCCTTATCTGGGCGATGACGTCACAAATCTCAGGGAGTGCTCCGAGAGCAATTATAATGCAAATGAGGGCACTCCATTTGAAATCAATAGCCGAACATACTTTATTGTTTTGTTGAAACTCTTTGATCCATCGAATTTGACGGAGCAAGGAAGAGCGCTCCGTGCGTTCTATTGGTCAAATCGAATACGTGAATCTCTCCGAGAGCAACGCTCCGTTTTAAGCCGAACATGAAAATCGGTTTCGGATCGATTTTTGTTCAGTTGGGTGCAGTTTTGTGGCAAATGTCGAAAATGGTAATATATACAGGGACGATTGGGACGAATTTTTAGAAAAATCAATATCAATGAAAATGAACAATACATCAGGCCGTTTCCAAACATAACGACAACCCTGTATAGTATATCAGTTTTTCCAACGGCAGAAGTGCGTTTAGAAATAGAGTGTGTAGAGTAGTTGTTTGTCCGAGTGTTCTGACGTGATCACTTGGAGTGCACTCTTAATGCGCTATTTCTGAGCTGCTTTCCAGTATGTACATTGGCGCGCTCTATAGCACCCCGGGAGCGCCAGGCACTAGAGGTGCTTTCCAGTGACCCATTTGAGTTACTCCTGAGCAGCTCAGGAGTGCTCCACAATTGCTTTGCGCGTTCCAGTGCTTAGAGTGTCGTACACTTGAGCTACTCATTTCTGTTATCCCCTGCCCCCTCGTGCACCAACCCATTTGTCTGTGTTTCATGCTCCTGAAATCCGAAATGGTGGGGGGTTAAGACGAGAGCGTTCCAGTGCTGCTTATGTCGAACAGTTCAAGAGCGTCACACTTCAGGAGCATGATACTCTAACAATTTAGGCACTGGAAAGCGGCTTAGATTTGTACCGTTCCAGTATCATGACGTGTGACGTTTGTCCGTACGTATAGCTCGAGGGCTCAACACTCTGAGTAGCTCCAAGCGTCACACCTCACACCTCCATACGGAAAGCGGCTCTGGTCGGGGATTCTAAAATCACGATTCGACATACGACTCGACAACGAGACGATTTTTCCGACGATTCTAGGTTAGAAATCTCATTGGAATTATATCTTTCGACACGACAAGGCCGGTATCGTTGTCGAGTCGTGTGTCGAATCGTGATTTTAGAATTTCGGCCCTGAACGTATTGGGGCGTTGCGGTGAATGTCAATGTCATGAATTACGTCGAACCCGGTAAAAACCAATAGTTCTTTTCACGTGGCTCCGGTTTAAACTAACCGGGTTACAAAATGGTTAGTAGCGGTATGTCATGTTTTTTTTTTAAGATACTTCCCCAAGTCAAAAATTTAGTAACTATGTTGACAACACAAGCCTTTTCTAAAAATTTGAAAGCATTGACAATTTTAGATTGTATTGCCAATATAATGTCATTTTGACTTTAATCTTTAAAAAAAAACACACACTTTATTGTTTTTGTTCTAACCGTTAAACGTAACCATATCGCCGAGCAAGGATGATACACACTACTACTACAGGATGGCCTATCCTCATAAGGCCTGTGTGTAACAAATCCCCCCCTTGGCCAAACAACCAGTTGTGACGTAAACAGCATGGCGTTTCTCGCCTTCACGTAGGTTGTTTAAACAGCTGACGACTCAGTTATGACGTCGGCAATGGTTGAAAACCAATATGGCGGCGATTACCAAAAACGAGGCCGATAAGCACTCCTTAGAGTGTGTATTCTCCTTGATCTAACCCGTTTACAAAGTGACGTGTCGATACCACTCGAATTTGAGCGGTAGTTGCGGTTTGTTAAACCGGAACCACGTGAAAAGGGTTAAGTTGGAACCGCGGGGCGTTTTTCAACCCAGGACGTGATGGCCGTTTGTACCCAAGGAGAATACACACTCGGAGTGCTTATGGCCCTCGTTTTTGGTAATCGCCGCCATATTGGTTTTCAACTGTTTTCAACCATTGCCGACGTCATAACTAAGTCGTCAGCTGTTTAGGCAGCATACGTCAAGGCTAGAAACGCCATGCTGCTTACGTCAGAACTGGTTATCTGGCGTGGCGGGGTAGGGGGGGATTTGTTACACACAGGCCTTATGAGGATAGGCCATCCTGTAGTAGTAGTGTGTATCATCCTTGGTTTGTACCGACCATTTTAAGGGAGGCTTAACGATAAGGAAGATAAGGATAGCTTAAAATGACATTTTTACATGTAAAAATGTCACTTTAAGGAACACTTATCGTTAAACCTCCCTTAAAATGGTGGGTGCAAACGGCCATGAGTGGGGTAATTTGGGCGCACTTTGGGCACGTCAACTCTCGATTTCTGAACGATTCCAGCGTAATGCTCCGAGTAAGCACCTGTTAATTTATGAACGGTTTAGAGTTAAGGCCCATCCTCCATCAATCTGGTAGCGAAGTGGCACTTCGGCACGCATGCTAGGATTGTTGTTAACGTTGGCATCCTCAATTCAATTCTGTGCTAGCATGCACGCCGACTCTGAAGTGCAAGCTACAAGCTTTTTTGATGCGTGCCGACTTATGTCATGCGCAGTACGTTAAAAAATAATTCAGGTTATCCTTGCGTTCGGTATTTTGCTCGAAGAGCATAGCGGATCTGTAATCACGTGACCAGCGAGCGCACAGAGCAGTTGAACGCTGTATCAGAAGGCTCAAAATTTTAATAATCGAACATGAATGAGCCTGCACCGAGTACACTTTTTAAATAAACGAACGATAAATTTATGCTCAGAGAACTCAGATCAAAATACCGAACGCACGGTTTGTGGGAATGCGCACACCAATGAACTATAGCTAAAAACTGGAATGCGCACACATTGCCATATCTGCCAAAAAAATGAAGCCATGAAAGACAGATGCCACAAAGGGGAATGTTGTTTTTTTCTGTTGCTCGCTGACATATGACGTTTTCGAAAGTTTTGTCATATTTCCCTTCACAGGTTTCATCAATTGGAATACGTGTTGGAAGCAATTTTCGCCATTTAACATAATGAGTGCGACAAAAACAGGTATCCCCTCCGCAGCAGCCGCACTAGGCCTCACGTTCGCCATATGTGTTCGCATTCCAGTTTTTGGTTATAGTTCATTGGCGCACACAGTGCCATATCTGCCAAAAAAATGAAGCCATGAAAGACAGATGCCACAACGGGGAATGTTTTCTTTTTCTGTTGCTCGCTGACATATGACGTTTTCGAAAGTTTTGTCATATTTCCCTTCACAGGTTTCATCAATTGGAATACGTGTTGGAAGCAATTTTCGCCATTTAACATAATGAGTGCGACAAAAACAGGTATCCCCTCCGCAGCAGCCGCACTAGGCTTCACGTTCGTCCTTATGTGTTAGCATTCCAGTTTTTGGTTATAGTTCATTGCGACCAGCAGACTGAAAATTGACAGCATTGAGGATGGGTATGAATTTCCTAGCACGCGTGCCGAAGTACCACTTCGCTACCAGATTGATTGAGGATGTAGCTTTACTCTAGGGTCACTCTCACACCCAGAGTGCTATTTCAATACGTATCCCTGCGGTGCGCTCTGACTGCGTAACGTACCGCCAGGTTCTTTTACGAACGGTGGCCTCTCGCCTCTGTATCAAAAGCGATCAACATTTAACCGCGTCTCCTCTCAGTCCTCTCTCGGTAAATAGTAGGGATCTAGGAAACATAACATAACAAGTGCAATAAATGTCGCTGACAATTTTGAACTGTAAAAGTAGAAGAATGTGGAGGATCGCATTTTCCGTCGAATAACTAATAGCTGTTTTGTTTAGACTGATCTAGATCTACTGATCTAGATCTACTGATCTTTATAATTTTGAAAAAAAATTGCACTAGCTTCACCAACCGAAAACGCTATTTTGAACACGAGTCTTTTATGTCATATTTCATGTCACTATAAATCATGTCATGTGTCATGTTATGTTTAGAGGTTATACGAAGTGATGTGTATTGTTGACTGTCCTTGTGCAAGTTTTCCAAAATAAACTAATTATTTGAAGGGGGAATAATAGCAGTTTAATTACGATCGACTCTATTTCCAAAAAGTTTCAAATTGTCGTTTGTTTGGATAGTGTTTAAGCATGGCTTCTGACAAAGAAACAGACCCCAGAGTCCTTGTACAAGAGGACACTGAGGGCAAAGCATCGAAAGAAAAAGGTAATGATAATAAAAAGAAGTCGCAAGATAAAAGAAGGCATAGTAGATCTCGGTCCAAATCTCCAGACAGGGAACAGCGACGTGAAAAAAGGCGAAAACGAAAAGGTTCTGATGAGTACCAAATAATGCCCCGCTATTATGGTGATGACAAAAAAAAGGAAAATAGCGATAAATATTGGAGTAAATATCCAAAGAAAGACGAACATCGAGTTGGTAAGAGATACTATGAAGATGACCCAAATAATTCTGATGATGAGAATATCGAAAACAAGAGAGCAGGGAAAAAAGCTTCCAAAGACGACAAAAAAGTAGAAGATAAATCGGTCATTAAACCTCGTGAAAGAAAAACCGTAGATCTTCTAACATCACGCACTGGAGGGGCTTATATCCCCCCAGCAAAATTGCGAATGATGCAAGCAGAAATAACTGATAAATCATCAGCAGCATTTCAAAGAATTGCTTGGGAAGCTTTAAAAAAGTCCATTCATGGATTCATTAACAAAATAAACACGTCAAACATTGGAATTATTGCAAGGGAATTGTTGCATGAAAATATAATCAGAGGAAGAGGTTTATTATGTAAATCAATTATTCAAGCTCAAGCGGCTTCACCAACATTTACCAATGTATATGCAGCATTAGTTGCTGTAATAAATTCGAAATTTCCCAATATTGGAGAACTTTTACTCAAGAGATTGGTATTACAATTCAAAAGAGGCTTCAAACAAAATAATAAAACCATTTGTATATCAGCATCAACATTCATTGCCCATTTGGTTAACCAGTCTGTTGCACATGAAATTTTAGCACTGGAAATTTTAACGCTACTTATTGAAACTCCTACTGATGATTCTGTAGAAGTTTCAATTGCATTTCTAAAGGAATGTGGACAGAAGCTCTCAGAGGTTACAAGCAGAGGTGTGTATTGTGTATTACATATTTAAAAAAATATATATATTTATATCGAGACCAAGGCCATAATTAATTAACTACATAATGTTTTTCAGGGATTAATGCTATTTTTGAAATGCTAAGGAATATTTTGCATGAGGGGAAATTGGAAAAAAGGATCCAATACATGATTGAGGTCATGTTTCAAATAAGGAAAGATGGTTTCAAGGATCATGCTGCTGTTATTGAAGAGCTGGACATTGTGGAAGAAGATGATCAGTTTACTCATTTGATAAAACTTGATGATGTAGTACAGGCAGATACTGATGATATATTGAGTAAGTGTTCTCAGGTTTTCACTGTCAACGGAAAATTGTTCGAAAGAAAATTGTTCAAACGAAAAATTGTTCGAACGGAAAATTATTCGAACAGAAAATTGTTCGAACGGAAAATTATTTGAACGGAAAATTGTTCGAAAATAATTGTTCGAACGGAAAATTGTTTTTTTTTTCCGAAAAATCAATAGTTTAACTGTCTATCGTAAATGAATCTATGGCCGGAGTTACCCAATTCCTTAATTCTTAATATTTGTCTCTGATTCTTAATTCTTGGTTTTTTAAATTCAATATTAATATACAAGGACTAGCACGCATTAGGTGGACGCTTTAATTTGGGTTAGTTTGGGCTAGTTTACATATTTTTGGTTAGTTTCGTCACGGTTCGTTTAATATGTGATGTGATGGGTGCGTTCTATATATTAAACAAGAATTTTATATAGATAGCCAGATCATAACTGAAAATAACCTGAAAATTATTAAAGCATCTATACAAAAAAATAATGCAACTGCGGATATATTAGCGACCTATAGATCCTTTGCCACATCCAAGGAAGAATTTATAGCAAATTTGAATTCAGTACTAAGCAATTCAAATACATTTAAAGGTCAAACACAACTTCTAGTGGGAGATATAAACATCGACCTGCTCGCAATGGAGTCAGAGGTTACCAACTACTATCTGACAATGCTTCAGAGTCATGGGTTTGCAAGTGTTATCAATAAGGCAACAAGGAAAAGTGGTGAATCAAGCTCATGTATCGATCATTATTTTAATAAATGTAAAAACAATGTTTTTCAGAATCTCAAATCTGTAATATTGGAACATAAACTTACGGATCATGATCCTATCTTGCTTAGTATACAATTAAGAGGCCAACAACAAATTCAAGCGCGCGAAATTCATTCTTTGTCGCCGAGTTCAAAGTAGGACCGTGATAGACGACGTTACGGCAAATATTTCCGAGATAACGGAAGGGTGTGATCAAATTGCATGGAAGGTGAATAATAAATCCTATGGGCTTTTGTGGAGGCAAAACTAATACACCTATCATATTTAATATAAATTAAAAAGTATACAGACAAATAAGAATGTGGAGAATGAAATGTGCGGAAACACAAAAATATATTACGAAGATAATAAAATTTACCTATACTAATACAGCAAAATAGATACTTGAAATGTTTACACCAAAAAAAGTGAGGTGGCGTAGTTACGAGGGTGGGAGAGATGATGTTTATTCGTTTATTAGATAAAGAACTTCCAAAAAACCTAGAAAAATAATAAAAAGGAAAAGTGTTAATTTCACACATTGGTGAGATTGCTCATGAAAACCTCGGACACATCGATTTTTTATTTCAGTTGCCGTTTTTCTGATGGTAATATCATGTATACAGGGTGACCCAGAAACAAGTTGTGACAGCTAACTTTATTTTTTTAAATGAAAACATTAATTTTGAAGTGAAAACTTCTTTAGAATCGTTGGGAGTGATGTGAGACTCGATGAAACGAAAAAGCGACATGAAACGAAAAAGCACAAACACACAACAAGAACCTGGAACAAGCCAAGTGAGCTGGAACAAGTCTGGAAAATGTCTGGATAAATCTGGATGAAGTCTGGAAAAGTCTGGAAATCTCTGGAAACGTCCGGCAAGAGCCTGGAAATTTCTGGAAAGGGTCGGAAAAATTCTGCCAAAGGTCCCAAAAGACCTGGGGATCATTCTCCAGAATCCGGATCAGTCTGTACAAGTCTGGATTAGGTCTGGATAAATCTGGCAAAAGTCTCTTAAACTCTGGAAAACTCTGGATAAGTCTGGCTATTGTCTGGAAAAGTCTGGAAACGTCTGGAAAAGACTTGGAAATTTCTGGAAAGGGTTGGAAAAATTCTGAAAAAGGTCCCAAAAGACCTGAGGATCATTTTCCAGAATCCGGATCAGTCTGAACAAATCTGGATAAAGTCTGGATTAATCTGGATGAAGTCTGGAAAACTCTGGATAAGTCTGGATAATGTCTGGATAATGTCTGGAATTTTCTGGAAACGTCTGGAAAGAGCCCGGAAATTTCTGGAAAGGGTCAGAAAAATTCTGCCAAAGGTCCCAAAAGACCTGGGGATCATTTTCCAGAATCTGGATCAGTCTGTACAAGTCTGGATAAGGTCTGGATAAATCTGGATTAAGTCTGTAAAACTCTGGATATTGTCTGGAAAAGTTTGGAAACATCTGGAAAAGACTTGGAAATTTCTGGAAAGAGTTGGAAAAATTCTGAAAAAGGTCCCAAAAGACCTGGGGATCATTTTCCAGAATCCGGATCAGTCTGAACAAATCTGGATAAAGTCTGGATTAATCTGGATGAAGTCTGGAAAACTCTGGATAAGTCTGGATAATGTCTGGAAATCTCTGGAAACGTCTGGAAAAGGCCTGGAAATTTCTTGAAGGGGTCGGAAAAATTCTGGAAAAGGTCCCTAAAGACCTGGGGATCATTTCCCAGAATCCGGATCAGTCTGTACAAGTCTGGATAAATCTGGATGGAATCTGGAAAACTCTGGGAAGCTCTGAATAAGTCTGGATAATGTCTCGAAAAGTCTGGAAATCTCTGGGGCTGACACGCTATTATAATACATCGAACTAAAAAGTGAAAAATAAATGTATTTTAAAAAAACTAAAAAACACGCTTTTATAGTAAATTGAACTAAAAAGTGAAAAATAATTTTTAATAGAAACAGAAAATATTAATGAACAAAAAATATTAGAATTATTGTCAAAAAAGCGTGGGGTGCTCAATGTATGAAAAATGTGGAACAAAGCACCCCCAGTGTATTTTAGTTTTTTCAAACTATATTTATTTGCGTTCTTTCTCAAGTCTTTTGGAGGGGGGGGACGCCACTGTGTATGTTAGTATGTGTGTAATGCATGCAGTTCGATGAAGGTTTCACTTCTACCGGGTGTGAACTGCACAGGATTTTTTTTAATTTCATTTCTTATTTCTACGTTACATTCTGAACTTATTTAATGTATCATATCCTATACCTATCTTCAACTGTTTCGGAAATAATAAGAGTTGAAAATTTACTTTTTTGCAACTTTGACAGGCTCTAAAACCTCAACGGTTGATTTTAGAGCTAAACCGATCATACATTCTTATCTGAGTTTTCCATGAACTATCATTTGACACCAGCTTGGAAATTAATCCAAGATTAAAAATTCCATTGCTTGAGTTGTATTTTAGCTATTTTTGGGTTTGAAAAAAGGACAGTTCTAGAACATTTTCAAAACAATCGCACAGTTTATTATTGAAGTTTGTGATAGCTGAACCGTTGTCATATAGTTGATTGATGAACTGTGCGATTGTTTTGAACCGTTCTAGAACCGTCCTTTTTTCGAACCCGAAAAGAGCTTTTATGAGAGAATTTCATGAATCAAAAATTTAAATTTTTTGTCAAAAAATGTTAAAACACCAGGGGTGCGTTCAAGGACGGCAATGCTAATTCCAAAACCTACTTTTCCCCCTCCACCGGTAATGCTGAACCACGTAGTTTGGAGCTGAACTCGAACGCAAAATGCCAATTTTGGCTTGGCTGTAGCCAATCCTGAACGCAGCCCAGTGTCGCGCCAATTATCGCGTGAAGCCTAATTCTCACTTGTGCGAGATTCGCTCTTTTTTGACATTGCTTCAATAATTTGACGTTTGATACACGCATAAAACGTAAATCAACAATCAAAACATGTCAGTTTATTGTTGGAATGTCAGTTTTGACAGATGTATGAAATTCTAAATGTCGAGTGCAATGGAAATTGTCGATAATTTTTGGGAAATTTGCCCAGATGCATTTTTAGTTAAAAAGGAGCACCAGTGCTTTTTCAGTGCCCATTTCTGTCAAAAACGCATGAGTGCAAATTTGTCAAAAATTGAAAATATATTTCCATTGCACGAGTTGTACAGGGTGGCCCGTTTAAGAGGGGCCTATACCTTATCTCGAAATCCACGAGGGCTGCAAAAAAAAATTAAATACAAAAGTTGTTTCTAATAAAATTATCTAAATTTTTTTTGCATTGTTTTTGTTGTTACTCTACTATATACAGGGTGGGGAGATAAAATTTAATTTTTTTTAATGAAACACCCTATATTTCAAAACACTTTCATATAGCCCTTTGAAAGACAAATCCAACGATATACTTGACATGTGTCTGTGATAAACCGTTTCGAACTTATTAGCGATAATCTTCAGGATCTGGGGTAATTTCAAACAGGCATTATTACGCTACTCATAAACTTTTGAAACTTTTTTTTGCATGCTATTTTTCATAAAATAATGCTCTTCTTTAGACTATTTTGAAATTTGGAATATTTGTTCAAAAAACGCCGTGTTGCCACGTTTCGCAAAATGTTACGCTTTTCAATTTTTTTAAATGGGACCTCCTGTAAATTTTTGAATTTTTGGATAGCCCTTTAAAATACAAATTCAACGATATACTGGAAATGGGTTTGTGATGCACCGTTTCGGCCTTATTGGCGATTATCTTCAGTTCTAGCACCATATTTTATGTCATCCCTGTTGAATAAAGAAAATGTCTAATTTTGCAGTAGATTAGCTGAAATAGTGCTCTTTATTATTATTATTCATTCAGAAGTAGTTAAGAAAAGACGTTTATTTTCTACTTTACTATTATAGATCCATAATACCTAGGAAACGAAATACGTTAACACACCTATAACAACCTGATCCATAACGCCCGCTTTTGCGGGCGTTATTGCGGGCGTTATGATCTATAACGCCCGCTTATAATACCTTAAGGTGTTTTTGTTGTTTTTGTTCTATTAATTTGCACTTTACCCTAGGCAGCCACTAAATGTCTGACCGAAAATAATTTTCGGTCTAGCCAGGATTCGAACCCGGTCTACCATCAATGTTTCCCATGTAGTCCAGCGCGTTAACCCACAGGACCACCACCGCTGCCTTGCCTTATGAGATGTTTATAGATATATTAATTTATTTCGTTTCTAT